GTTACATTCGAGGAAGTCATCAAAGTTGTAGCTTCTCGGGATAAAAAGCTCTCCTGTAATGCACACGGTCTCTCCAGGTTCATGTTAAAATTTTTTCCTCCACAATATTGGATGTTATTTGTCCAATTGTTCAATTCGTCTTTCTCTTCATGTATTTTTCCTTCCCTCTGGAAAGATGTTCGTATTATTTTACTCGCCAAGAAAGAGGCAATTTGCTCAGTAGCTGACACAAGGCCCATTTCACTCCTTGATATCTTCCTTAAATTAATTGAAAGATTATTTCTCACCAGATTCCTGGATATCTTAAATAGACGTGGTATTCTCCCCGACACACAGTCGGGCTTGAGATCCAACTTTAGGCTGCAAACCAGAGTACTGCTACTCATGGAACAGATTTCATCCTTAATGTCGAACAGCTCTCCAGTGGTAACAGTGTTTGTGGATTACAAACAAGCCTTCGACCAATTATGGTTTGAAGGATGTATATGTAAATTGAGTCGTTTAGGTATTTCTAAAGCGTTCGTACAATGGGTCTATGCGTGGCTAGTAGGGAGAAGAGGCTTTGTTGAAATCAATGGTGCCAGATCCAAATGGTTTTCGATAGAACGTGGCGGACCGCAAGGGTCTAGCCTTTCTCCATCTATTTTTATCACATATCACTCTGACATGGATCATCTGTTGCAAAAATGTACATCCTTCTATTTTGCGGACGACTTGGCAACCACGATGGCTGGCCACATAGGCACGAAGTATTTAGACCAATGTCTAGATCTCGAACGTAAACTTAAGGTCTTCTTTGAGAACCTAGAGTATTACTCATTGCTCTCGGTGCAACCTATCAACTATGATAAAACAGAAGCTCTCTGGTCAGCCAGAGCTTGGGATATACATGAGGGCCCAAAATTTAATCTACTGTGCGGTAATCATCCAGTCAAGTGGTGTACTTCTTTTAAATACCTTGGTTATTGGATTAGTCCCAAACTGGGTTGGTCCACTATGATCAATAAATCCGTTCTGAAAATACGACAAAGAATAGGTATGATTAATTCCTGTCGTATTCATGGTTCAACTTCTAGAGACTTGCGCAGGGTACTATTCTCTTCTTATGTATTACCAATCTTTACGTGGCTTTTCGCTATTTTCCCTCTTTTTTCTGAATGTCAGCGGTCATTCCTATCAGAATTCTATTACACCTGCCTTAAACGAGTGCTACATTTTCATCATTGGCCAAATTTCTTTTTCGCATTCGCTCTGAATGAAGTCTCTCTCGAAAATAGATGTTCGCGTTATTGGACTAAATATTTAAGAGCACTTGACTCCTCTAAAGATGGTGATTTGCTTATAGAACAGTTTATCCTTAATTTACATAGAAAAAGCTGGCTTAGTGGTAAGCAGAGAGTAATGGGACTCCGTCGTTCGAGAAGATTTGTCGACCAGGAATCGGTCTTGCAGAAGTGCCTATCCTGGTTTGATGATAATCCTCATCCTGACACGATAGCACAGTTCCCCTATGATGATATTGAATTGCTAAAAAAGCTTATCCCGAAACATTCTAACTATGTTTTTCTCCAGGAACGTGTTAATTCTTTAATCGTGTTTGTTTAATTGTTGTTATATTGCACTTCTTTTCTTCTTCTCCGTCATTTATCTCTTATTCGGTATGCAAGTTTATCTGGCGTGATCATTTCTTTCTTTCTCAGTCGTTTCTACTCTTGCTCTTTCTTATTGTAATCTATTCTATTCATGCTCTAATGTCTCGCTTCTATTATATCTTCTTCTTCCCCCTTTTTTAATTTTATTTCTTGCTGTAAGATCGAAAAATTTTTCGTACTGATAGGCCTTCCCTAGGCACCAGTTCTTTCATTAGATTAGCGTAAATAAAAAAAAATAAAAAAATATCTTATTGAATTAATTTCTATGTGTTTTTTCTTTTAGTTTTTTTTTATTATAGTGATCAAATGAATGAAGGCTCTTTTTCGATTTTTTATTTGTGGTTTATCTACGAAATGGAATGAATTTTGTAAGTTATTATACAAATTTTTGTTTAATAAAATGTGAAGCGAGAAATCACAAGTTTTCACATATTTGATGGAAAGAAAAAGAATCCTAGATCTTGAAGTGGGACGTATCACAGATGTCTGAAAATTTGACTTTCTTATTAAAATTTCATATATTCATAAGATTCAAAAATGAAGATTTCATTTTTTTAATTTTATAGGAAACACAATTGTACATATCAAAATGAAGAATTGATATTTCGGTGATAATCTGAATCAAAGAGAAATTTCACAATTGGTTTTATTAATTGTTCGATGAAAATGAATCAATGTAAAAACTTTTTGAAGATTCGATTGAATTTTAGAGTATTAAATGAAATACTTAAATTAATTTTTTTGTTTTTTTGTTACGTTAAAAGTAAAATCTATTAAATTAAAAGAACAAAGAGTTTTAATAAGACAGAAAAAAAAGAATGACAATTTGTTCGATTTGTTTCAATTTAAAGAGGATTTCTTTTATACAATATTAAATTTAATGTTCATCCTGAGATAAATTAGAATGCACTGTAATTTCACTTTTATGTTCAGGAACATTGCCATTTGTTTTTGCTGTTGATAATAATTCAGCATTTGCTGTTATTTGTTCAATCATATGTCGTGAAGGATGTCTTAATGGGGATGATGTTGCAATTGGTTTTGGTTGTTTTGATTTTTCATATTTATGAGATTTCTTTTTCTTTTGTTGTTCTAATCGATTACTATTACTAGTTGGAAAACTTGTTACGGATGTATTTGCTGATGCATGATGTTTAGTTTGTGCTGTTGATCGATTTAAATCAGATTCAACTATATTCCGACGTTTTGAACTTGACTGTGTTGATTCAACTGTACTTGAACGACGACGATAATGACGAGCAGGTGCGTAAGTTGGTATACAATCATAACCATTTAATTTTCCATAACCAGATGAACCTTTGGTTACTAATCGATGATAATCTTCATTAAGATGATCATCTGAATCTTTCTATACAAGACAAAGAGAAAACAAACATAGTTTTACATATTTGAATTAATAATTTGTTATTACTATTTTTGAATAGTTTTTATATTTGAAAGGTTTTGATAATCGTTCATTTTGTTTATATGAATTATTAGCATCAATATTTAATGTTTTACGTACAATATCCAAAACAATAGGTGATTGAAAAAATTGTCTTAAATGTGGATCATCAAGTGGTTCATAAGATGGTATAATTGATGAACGACGACTTTGATGTGCAGAACGTACAGAATCATTAACAAATGATTCTTCACGGAAACGTAATTCCGAATCACTTTTACCTGGACCATAAAAATCAGCTGAACGTAATTTAATAGGATAACCAAATTTAAGACGAGTTAATTTTGATGCTGGTCTTGTTGTTCCTCCAGGTGAAGCCTATATTGGAAAATATATTATTTTGAATAAAAAGAACAAATAAATCTATTGTTTATTTTGCTGTTTAGAGAAAACATACTGATCTACTTCTTGCACCTGATAAAATACTTCTATTTGATTGTCGACTATGTGAACGTGATTGATGAGGTAAGGAATACGCTGATGAATCACCCAATTTTGATGATGCTATACCACTACCTTTAATACGTATTGAACTTGGACGCTTACCATTAGTTTTTATTGGTGGTAATGGAACATTTGAATGTGCACTAAGATCAGTGAATAATGATCGTCTTTGTTTATGTTTTTTTTCTGGATTTTTTATTGTTGTAAGAATTTGTCGATGGCGTAATTTAGCTTGATGATCACCATTAACATTTTCTCTTGGATTATATCGATAACTAAGTGTGGCTATCTGCATTGAATCATATAGTTTTAATAATTGTAATGTAATGTCTTTACTACAGTTAATGTTTCATACACAATGACGTCTAACAAGATTGCTATGTCAACAGAGAATGTTTATATGTATGTATGATGAATATATATATATATATATACATTCAACACTTGAGCATCATACATACAATGTAAAAGTGTGATGATGCCATTTGTTGGTAGCAGCAGTTACTTCATTTTTTTTTGCCTTTCTTTGTTTATATATTTTTTTTCGGACATGCATACTTCTATACAAATGAAGTTTTTCTTGTAAGTAACTTCAAAAAAAAAGTTGATTTTTGTTTTATAAATGAAGACAAATATTGTTTGTATATGCAAAGACATTAATTGATTTATTTAGGAAAGAAAAAGTTTCGGATCTTTTTTTCCTCGATTAAAAAAAATATTATATGGATTTTTGTAAATAAGTTTTAAAAAAGAAGAATGATCATGTAAAATGGATATTGAATTTTTAACTTGTAGTTGTGTTAGAAGAAGGAAATATATGTCCATTGTTGTTGGAATGTGGTTGAAGAAGTTGTTCTACTATTCAGAATTTTAAAAGGAATAATAATCTATGTCAACAAAAAACAAACAAATACGTAATGCTTCTACTATAAATAGTTGTCAATGAACAATTCGATCAATATATATATATTTAATAATTCAATATTGCCCAGGAGGATTAATATTATTCAACTAATGTTTGTTCAAAAACTAAAGAAAGAAAATTCAAGTTCTTAATCTACCGAAATTATTTTTATAATCACATTTTCCTATATAATCACAATCCATACTAAAAAATTATTGAACTTAATACTTCACACAATAATAAATTCATATGAGAATGTGATTAAGTAAAATTGCTTTAAAAAGAAAAAAAGAATTTGATTACAAGTAAATTTCTTGAAATATATATGAATATTAAACATCGAGATATGTACATAACTTTAAATTGCAAATAAGATATGATTAACAATCCACCTACACACAAATATATTGGCAACAGATTTTCATAGAAAACAAGGCAACAAAATATCAAATTGATATTCTTTCCTAATCACTATATAGAGTCTACATTGTTGTCATTCTTTTTCTTTATTATTTTTTTTTATAACGTTCGAACGATGAATTTATCTCGTCGTTCGTTACGTTGGCTTCAAATAATTCTGACACTTTTCTATGGTCAAATTATTTCAACTGGTATATTTGAATATCTGATTCAAGGTATTTGTGGTTTAATATTACATATTCGACCAATATATGATTCAATAATTCTTATTATTCTTGGTCTATTTATGTTTATATTTGTTCTATATGCAATATTTGCTTTATGGTTTTGTCGTTTGAAAATGTTTACTATATCTTTATTGATATTAATTGCAATATTTATATTAACATTGGTGAGAAGTATTTTTGAAATTCATAATATTGGAAAATATTCAATACGTATAGAATGGGCTTCTATACGAATAACAGAACTTGTATTAAAAGTGTTTGGCATTGTAGTTAGTGTACTTTTTATTGTTTGCCTTAGACAAGGTTATAAACCAGAACATTTTTAAAGTAGAAAAGAAGAAACAAAAATAAATCATTTAATGGATACATAAATTTTTTATTAACGTACAAAAAAAAATAAAAGATAAAACCTTAGAAATCAACTACATTATCACTATTTGAAGTTGAATTTTCATGATGTTGAATTGAATGTCGACGTCTACGAGTATGAGTTTTCTTAATATATCTATTATTTTTCATTGGCAATTCATTATTATTATTATTATTATTATCAGTAATGGGCTTATTATCATCAGTTCTAGCCCATAGAAAATTATCACCAGCATCAATAAAAACATTTTCAAATAGAAATTTGAAAATTCGTTTTTCATATTCATCTGGTTCAATGGTAGAATATTGTTGATATCGATTAGGATCAGTAATTTTTTTAAATTTTTGTTCTAAACATTTACGACAATCAAATTGTTGAAGCATATCAACAATACACAAATATAAATAAACACGCTGATTAGTATGATTTATAATACCCGGTATTGGTAAAGTAGCACAGGCAATTGAATCATTATTATAAAATAAATTTGTATCAATGTTTTCACCAATCATTTGTAATGGTTTTAAAAGTGAATTTGATAAAGATGTTAAATCCATTCGAGGACTTGACGATGAAGAATGACAATCATGTGTTTGTGCACACAATAATGCAAGACTATGTATCGTATTAAAAAGAGCAGCTACACCAGTTGAGGGTTGAGGTTGTATAAGATCATTATTTGATCCATCTAAATGTCTGATTCCAAGTAAGACGGAAAAATCAACTATGTTCAGTTTTTTTAAAACTTTAATATCATTTGATATAACCGTATGTAATCGATGATAAATATTCGATGGTATACGTATTCCATTTGGATATAAATCCATGAAATCCACATCTTTTAAATGATGTAATTTATCTGGACATAAATTTCTTTGCGATTTTCTTTTAATAGTTGAACCTTTCAAATCAAATATTTGATTAATTTTCAATGATGATGTAAATGCATTTGCCGCAATAGCGATATAAAAAGTAGATGATACTACTCTTCGAAAACGTACAGAATATAAACCAACATAACGATTAAATAGTGTTGGACGTTGTACTAATTGTAAATGATAACCAGATAAAATTTCCATTAATAAACGTGCTTCATATCCATGTAATGTTTTTAATATATATAGATCATCAAATGTTTTATACATAAATGCACCACTTTTACCAGGATTTTTAATTTCTTGTAAATGATGTTTTGAAAATGATCGACGAAAATCAATATTTGATATACCTATATCTTCACGTAGTTTATAAAAAACTGTTGGAGCTATTGAACTTATTTCGAACTCAATGGCATCATCACCATTATCATCATCATCATGCAATTTTGAAAGTTGAAATTTATTACTCTGTAATTTAAGTCGATAACGACGTGAATGATATAAACGATGTTCAGTACCAATAATAGTTGTTTCATTTTCTATATATTCATTTGGGTGTTTTGTTATATTATAAAGTAAATCAACAATTGCATGACGTAATACTCTACCAATAATTGAAATTTTTGAATTAAGAAAAGGTAGTTGAATTGAAGATTTAAGATATGATGGTAAATGGCAATTAAATGGCTTCCATATATCCTTACTATGTAAACCTTCACTTATTGCATCAGTATTTATTTGATTGCTATTACTCGCCATCTACTCGCTTGTTTACTCAATTGAAGAGAATAAATACATAGGTAACGCTTCAGTAAATAAACGTCAAAATAAATAAAAAATGGAGTAGTTATGTCACAAAAATGATTCTTTTTTTTTTCTATTGATATATCAATAAGTGTTGCAAATATAATATTAGTTTTTTAATAGTTACAAAATAAATTTTCTTGATTGTTTTTTCATGTGGATGAGTTTAACAAAAATTTGTTGTTTATTTTGATATAAAACAATCTAATGGTTGAAAGATTCTAATAGCTGTTTTATAGATTTTTATTAGTAGTTTTTATATGATTCAATTTGAATAATATAAAAAGATTGACTCTTTTTTCCAATATAACAAATTATTAATTATGCTGTCTAGATAGTATGAATTTTAGAAATCGAAAAGAATTATCCAAGTAAATTACATATGTCATCATAATTTCGACATTTTTATTCTAATTTATAGATCAAAGATGGTTGACTTAGGTTATTCGTAACAACAATTAATTGATTAAAATATTTTCTATCCTTTTTATTCTAAAACACATTCAGTATTATGTTCTATGTTATTATTTAAGTAGTATATATTTAGATTTTCAACAAAAAAGGAAATCTCTGATATTACCATAAATTCTTACAGAGCATAAAGAATCAACAAAACATAAAATTAAAAAAATCTACTGGAAATTCTCAGAACTTACCAAGATTTCAGAAGCAAATTTCCAAGTAATTACCGAAAATTCATCAACAGTTAGCTAGAAATTTCTTTTCATGCTTTAATATGACACAAGATTGTGTGAGAAGTTGGTTTTGAATTGGTGACAATTACCGTGCTTTTCATAATATACTGTATGACCCAAAAATGACCGGGTTGTTTTTGATTGCGAGTAACTTTTGATCGAAACAAGAAAGCGAACTACGATACTCACCTTTGAAAAGAGAAAACGTGGGGGCGTCAAATCACATATGAAACATAACATTTAAAAAAATGTTTAAGAGATTTTTGAAAAACCAAGATTAAACAAACTGGTATACCTAGAATTTAAAGTGCTATGAGAACTTCGAAAAGTTCAATTTTCTGCAAATCTTAGTATTTCAAAACCGTCCTAAAGGTTTTTTTTGAATATTATGTTTCTTATATGATTGGATGCTCGCAAGTATTCTTGTTTCAACGGTGAGTATCGCAGCTCTCTTTCTTGTTTCTATCAAAAGTTATTCGCAATAGAGAAATACTCGATGATTTTTGAGCCGCCCTTTAGATTGCTTAGCTGTTAGTATTTTCTGCTTTTTAGTTGTAGTTTGTTAGTAATTTTCTCTGTGTATATTTTATGTTTCGCAAATTAACTAGAAATTTCCTTGTGGGATATGAGTGTTACAGTGCATTTTAATAACATAGGTGTCAATCCTCTTTATTCTCTGTTCTTTGATCATTCCTTTGTTCGTCGGATATCTTTCATATCATCATTTCGTTTCTAGTATTACTTTTTGACCTTGACTAAGCCGTCATGGCTCAGTGATTACGTTGTTCGACACATAATCACAACGTACTGTTTTCGAACCTCAGTTTCACCAGTCATAGGACGACCTTTGATAATTCACTAACGCCTATTTGTCTTGGGCCACCCGTCCAATAGCATGCTAACTACATTGTGACATACACCTGCCCTTGTGGCCAGTATGCGGTTAGCTCGTGTGTATGGGAAGCTCAAGCAATTGAGCGGAGGAACTCTGCGTCAGATTGGCCCTCTGTTTAGAGCTACAACTAGTTATAGTTGTAGGAAAAATATTGGGTGATTAGATCTGCCGCTAGGCAGCACCCCATACCATAAGATAGCAGAAAGGCAGAGGTATTCTTCTTCTTGACCTTGATTAACCTTTATATTCCTTTCTATTTTTGTGCTTGTTTTCATATTCATATATAAACACTTGTTTTTCAAAGAATAAATACAGAGAGAAGAAAATGTACACGTCTTTAACTGTACTCGTTGCTTCTTGTGAGTGTGAATTCTAACATTTTAGGAGACTGACTTCCCTCTAATAATTCACAACTAAGGAAGATCGAGCCATTGATTTAACCACCCAGTATGATAACGACCATCTGATCGCTATTTTTTTCTTCAATTATCAAAACAAAATTTCTTTCAAAGAGAATCATTTGTGAACTGTATCAAGCATCCACTAACAATATTAGTTATCAAATGCATACAGAGCCACTAAGCTTGACTCGTGATAAGATTAAATTTGATGCAATCAATGTACAAGCGAGCTTCTTCCTCTCTCAACAATCAAGTGGAACGAATTGCATGGAAAATATATCGTTCAATACATCAAAAGGCACGCATTATCTACAAGTTATAATAATTGATGTGGGGATTCTATTATTTGAATGGACGTATCATCCCTAGGACCTCTTCAATACAGAGATCCGTTCAATTGATGAATATATCAAATCAAATGGAATAATTATTTATTATTAGGGTAATCTGATGCGATATAATTTAGCATAGCATTGTCAGAGAGTGTGAGTTTCTTCTACTTACTGATTGCAAAGGGCTATTATATTTAATTTGGCATATTTCTATTAATATTTCATTATTCTATTATACGAAATTTAATTATTGAATACATTGAATATTCAACTATTCTTGAGAGATTCTTATCTAGGCACTGAGAATCGAGAAGGAAACAAATATTTGGTAACCAATTTTTTATTGACATATGAAAAATTGAAGGATTCATGGATGACTTTACTTGTCATTTATAAAAAACACAATCTCTAAATTTATCACTATTATATTATTTACATTTACTTAGTTATGAATGTGAATTAGTTGATCCAGTTAAACAATATCAAACAAGAATCAACGAGATATAATGATCAATGCCTATAATTTATATTGGTTCATTTTCTTATGTCTAGACCAGTCTTCTGTTTCATATTGGATTTTTATTTCTTCTACATCTATACGGTATGTACCAAAATGATCGAAAGAAAAAATAGTGAACGAAAGAATAGTGAAAGAAAAAATATTGAAAAGAATTATGACGAAAACAAAAATATCAATCGTATAGAAATGGCAAAAAAATATATGTCCTTAAAAAATGTCGAAAATGTTTCAGATATCACAAAGTGTCTCTATTAAGCAGTAAGATGTAAAGTTCGAGATTAGAAATGAAGCGAGAACTGATATCCACACCTACAGTCTACTCACATAAAGAAACATATAGCTTTGTTGGTGCTTTTATGCCTGAATATTTTTGATTCACTATTATTTTTGTCACACTTTTTTGTTTCATTATTTAATACACTATCTAAATGTTGCTTATAAGAAAAATCTATTAAAAAACAAAGATCAACAGATTTTTTTTCTTGTATATTTTATTATCTTATTTTATCTTTCATAAATAGATCATCTTTTCTTTAACTGAACCCATGTATGAAAATAATTAATTCAAAATAATACAAAGAACAATGAAAAAAAGGAATACATCATTATTAAATTATTCTATTTAAAATACAATCCTTTTCGTTTTGTCTAATATGCAATTGGAAAATACTTATAAACAGTTCAAAATGATCTCACATAGATGACATATACTTAAAAGAATATTGTACATAATAAAAAGTAGGGCAAAGTTTTTTTTTTTTATTAATTTGATGTTGTTATACACATCCCGAATGTCTTCATAATATCAGGCATGACATTATATATTAGCCATACAGTAAGAGCGATTATATGACGTAGTTATTTGAATGCTTCGTCAATTCTCACTTGACTGGCTCATTAAACTTGCTAAAAGGATATATTGCAAATTATGCCTAAAGTTACTAAAAACAAACTTTGAGCTAACAGTAACATAGATTTTAATGAGAATCGCTTTACTATTTAACTTCTAAAATGTCTATACTGCAAAACTGGACAATTTGTATAGGAAAATTTCGGTTCTTCTTGTGTTATTTCAAAGTTTTTTTTTCTTTAAGTCATTTGCTGATAAGTATGCTAGATTATTTATATTAATATTACATCATTTACTGGTTATCAACTAGATATGAAAATTCAAATTCAAGTCTAAAAATATTGCACTTGAAACTTCAATAAATGAGGTTGATTGACCAACAAATCAACATGAAGCTCTTTAATTATCACGTATTCTCTTATTAAAATATGAAGAAATACTTTTATAAATGTTCTATATCACACATAAAATAGTGAATATTATAAAAAAAAGATATATATACAAATACAAGTCGTCATTCTCTAATCAGAAAAAAGATGAACTTAAGGCGTAATGCCTTAAGCTCATCTTTTTCTATATCATGAAACATCAACTATTATTAGTATCAATGTCTTACAGAAAAAAGAAATCATTAGATATTCATATTCAATTGTCACGTATTTCATTAATTGATTCAACCATATTTTTTTCTATTAGAGTCTATTTTCTATTCATGACATTCACCAAATGATCATTAATTCTTTTTAGTACACTCATATTTGACAGTTTGTCATAGAAACTATTTACACATAGAATGTTTCGTTAATATACAAAACATATTTTTTTATGCTTATGATACTACTAAACTTAAAGAATAATTATACAAACAATATGCATTCAGTTCTGTCAAAGATCATATAATAAATGATCTTAAAATGTGTACATTAATTTTTTCCATAAATATAATTTCTAGCGATACAAATAGTATTGATATTATTTGGCACTTATATAAACACGAAATAGTGTTTTCTATTGATAATATTACTTTACGTGATAAAATCTAATTTTATTCAATTGTTTTCTATTTAACAAGTTGTTCTACTAAAATTCTTATTATTAGGACGATCCTTTCAGATTACATTGGTTTCAGTTCATTTTTCTGAATAATTAAACATTATATGTTCATATTTAATAAATACATTTCTAAAACAATAGATTTTCCGCTTTGATTTCTATTAGTTTCATCATTTGAGACAGACATCCTTAAATATAAATGTTGTTAT